CAGCATATGTGTTGCAAACGTCCCGAATATTGTCTTCAGCGTCTTGTCGTCTTGGTCATACAAATCGCTCAGATCAGTAATCGCTTTGAAGCCATCGGATTCAGAACAAAAAGTTCAGGAACATTGTGGCCACGGATCTATCTTGAGCTAATGCCTCGACTTGTACCAGCGATGTCGGTTATCGCGTTGATCTCTTCTGTGATCGGAGGCAGGGGTGTCAGTGGAAGTGGTATATTTCGTGTTTCAAATGAATCGGTTTATATAAGTCATTTTATCATTAGAATAATGTTACTTACAATAGATATAGCTTGGAGGTGTATATTTGAATCTATTTGGCCTCTGATTTAGGAAAGCTGGAGGAAAGTTGGAGAATTGGGCATTACACTTCTGTAATGTGCATTTCGTAAATTGTACTCTATTTAAACAAACTCAGATATACCTAACGTGTAAGAGTTGAATGATAGTACTTGTTCCACCAGTACCGGCTAAAAATTACACATTTCTTTCAAGTGAAAAACAGGTTATGGGTCCCCAAAAAATTGGGGGGGTCTCGAGAAATTAAAAGAAATATATCACGTTAATGTCTTTCGACATCACTGAATTTTGGAATGTTGTGTTCTATTAACTTATACTCAAGCGTGGTCTATACGGGCAGCTTGTTATTATATCATTTGATACGAACACATTACAAAATGTCAAACAACTAAAAACAAATATGAGAGGCACTCTCGAGACGGCAATGATGTTGGTCGTAACGGGAGTCACCAACCTTTGTATGCTCCCCGCCATCTACTTCCTTTATCGTCGTCAATTTGTCTTTGAGGTGCGCTAGTATTCCGCTCATCTCTTACCCTGCTGACTGCATTTGATGCTCAATTCGTGATCTCTCTAGGCTTTTATTGGCACATTTACAATGATCACTAGCTTCATGTATCACGTGTGTGACTGTATAGATAGACCACTATGGCTAACTGAAGGACAGTGGCATCGACTGGACAACATCGGCTCCATTATGAGTTTTGTGATGTGGAACATTCATTTAATGGACCTGCGCCATTCTGTTCTGGAACGATATATGCAATACTTTTTTTTAGGATTAGTCCTAGTGTTTCAAGAAAAGAACCCTTGGGACGAACAGAATTCTGCAATTCCCATTGTTTTCAGCCTCATGCTTTTGCTTCTGACATTTGTTATGCGAAGGCGCGTGCCTGCGTACGATTATCAGAATCTATTTCGAGGATTGATGCTACTGGGGTGCGGTATCCTGTGCTTTGTGCGTGGCTTAGACGATGATAATGATCCGCTACGCTTTTTTCACGGCTGCTGGCACGGCTTCGTTGGGGCTGCCGGATACTACAACTTTAAGGTGCTGCCTAACCGAAACTATCAAATTGGAACGCACTTGCCCATTAGAAGGCAAGATTAAATGATTAATCAAGTTTTGATATATATTCAAATTCGTGAATCCGGAGAAATTTTAAACTGCTTTGATTATGACGAGCAGCAATGTTGATCTGGCATCATCAATGCATACTTGTAGGATTTCAGCCAATCATATATCAGACGTTTGCTCGATCGTCGCATGGTCTGCTACGGCTCCATCTCTCAAGCAAAAGACAACGTCGTCGACCAGGAACAGAACGCCATGAGCCTCACTGAACGGTTGTACTCATATGATTTAACATGGTCTACAAAATTGTACCGAAAATTCGGTCGCGAACCAACATCACGGCTGTGCTGGGAGATATTCTCGCACTCGGGCGATGGCTTCCTGTACGTGCTGCTACATTATGAGTAGTGTCACCAAGAATAATTGTTACTGATCACATTATTTCGTTCATTTGCAGCTGGATTCTGACTATTCCGCCACTTATGGGGCTGTTTTGGACGGTTGGTCTCATTGGGCCCTTCGAGCCTGCCACCAAGATGTTCTTGTCTGCCCTCTTCACTGTCATGATTGTTGACATCATTGGTATCATGCTACTCAAGCTTATCTTTCGTCGCCAACGACCGCCCTTTCATGAGGCAGATATACGCTTTGTGGGCCCGGATCAACATTCATTTCCATCCGGCCACTCGACGCGTGTATGGGCTGTGGTGGCTATGCTCATGTACCTCACTGATACTCACTCCTCATGGATTTTACGTCGATTCTTTTATGGCCTCTCACCAACAGTACTTGTCGCAATTTCGATTGTCTGGGCGCTGATCATAAATTTCTCGCGTGTGGCGCTAGGACGCCACTACCCATCTGATGTGCTTGCCGGCACATTTATCGGCCTCTTTGTCTTCTGGCCCATTTCCCTTTTTTTCATCCAACACTACAACATGATTTCTCCGACGCTTTAAGCTAAAAGATGAGAAACTGAGATACAAGTGTAGTTGTATAAATCTGTGGCTATGATCTTCACCTTCACACCACGAGCCAACTAAAAGTATTACGTCTAAATGAAAAAACTTCTAAACAAACGCATTCGTTATTATTCTGATCTCATTCATCCTTTTGAGCACAATGTCATTCCTATGAGTAAGATCATATTCATACTTCCAACAGCGATAATTGTAACGAAAAGCTTCTATTTCAAACATGTGCTGATTTGACTCGTATATACTTTGACAGAAATGGTTGATAGATTAAGTGGGTGGAGTGTTTAATGGTTCATTGACGATCTCATCGATTGTGTCTCGACGAGTTTTGCCCTTCCACGCAAAACGACTTGGAAATGCTGGCTTGGACATAGTTGGAGCAGTAAAGCGACTAAATCGAGTCTTACTTGATTTTGGGGCTTCTATAGGCGGTGGTGTTGACACAGACAGGTCCCTGTCACTTCCGGTACTGCTGGTGTTACTGCTGGTGTTACTGCTAGTGTTGCTGGTTTGAAGCGAAAACCTTCTATTCTTTATCAGACCAGCAACTGAATTCAAGCCATTAGAAGCGACCGACGCTGCGATTGGGCGAGTTTTCTTTTGATCGAACTCCCTCTCCTCATCTTCGAGAGATGATGCAGTTGGAGTGGATGGTCTGGTTGAACGACGACTAGAAAGCGCACTTAGCACGCTGGCAGCACGCCACCGGCTGCCACTCTTTTTACGTGTTTCTTGTTCTTCTTCCGGCTCTTCTTTCTCAACATCGCTAGTTTTCGGACCAAGATCAGGATAATCGCCCACTGATGTGCTGTCACGGTCACTGTCAGATTCGAAACACTTGGGAGAACTGTTAGCATCGTCGTGTGCTTCAAATTCTCTGTCAAGAGGAGCATCAGCATACGAGTTCTCACGGGATCGAAATACATCGTCGAATGAGTTATTACGAGATCGAAACACGTCAGCATACGAATCGCCGCGTGAGCGAATCGATTCCGCGTAAGAATCATTACGCGATCGTATCGAGCCAGCGTATGAGTCAGCGTATGAGTCGTCTCGTGATCGAAATACGTCAGCGTAAGAGTCACCGCGTGATCGAAATACATCGGCGTAAGAGTCGCCACGTGACCTGAAGGAATCAGCATACGAGTCACCACGAGATCGCGTCGAGTCGTACGAGTCTTCGCGACAGCGAAGCGGGTCCGCAGTTGACTCGCCAATCAGCGAATTTGATGCTTCGCTTTCGCGAGGAGTACCTGAATTAAAAGATAGCCTTCGAATAAATGACTCAGAGTGAACAGAAGACGTATCAGAAACGCTGCTACGGGGAAGCTTCTCGTCGACTTCAACAAGAAGATCTTCTTTTATAGGGAGCGATACAGCACCTGAGACAGAAACTGCTTTTTTTCGATTCTTCGTCTTTGCCCAAAAGCGATTCTTCCCAACAGCGGCGCTAAAAAATCCAATCCGTTTCGGCTCTTCTACTGCGTCCTGGTAGCCTTCGCTGTTCGCAGCACTTTTTCCGTCATGAATAGATGGCTCTGACCTTCGGTGCGCTACGCTTCTAAACGCAAACAAGCTCAGTTTGTCAGGGCCACGGTGTGAGAAAATTTGATCAAACGTCGTTGATTCACACAAAGCGTCCGCAGACTCTGAATCATCATCGCTGCTATCGCTCACGTTAGAAAAACGGCCGTTTTGACTAAGCAGCTGAAGTTCTTCAAATGTAGGCTGGCGACGGACCTCCGGTATTCTTAATCCGGTCGCTTTCATAAATTTACAAAGTGCAGCTCGTTTTCGGCCAACTTTGCCACGCCAAATGGCTTGAATACGCACAGCACTGTTCGCTCTAACAGCAGCCTCATTTGCTAACTGTTGGCGCTGTTTAAATTCCTTCACAGCAGCAAATGCTCGCCATCTACACTGAATTCTCAATGCCATTTTGTTTTTAGCCGTTTGGCTGACAGCTCCCTCCTCGCTACCATCAACACTTTTCAAAATCAAAACATCAACCGATCTTGACCGAAGCGTTGAGACCATGGTACGAATTCTTAGCCCACGCCACCGACTCTGTATCCTTATCGCCATATCATCCATCACCAAACTTTCATCACGAGCTCGTTCTTTATTTCGTTCGAACTCTTCGCGGAGTGCCGATTCTTCGGCAAGTTTCAGCTGATCAGTGCGTTCTCGCTCCTCAAGACGAGCTTGTTCCTCGAGACGAGCTTGCTCCTCAAGACGAGCTTGCCTCTCAAGC